CTATGATTCTATGATTCTATGACATACTGATTCCACAGACTAACTATGGGCTGTTGCAGACCAGCTGAAAGGACTGGCCTGAGGGTAGAATTGGGGCAGGGCAGCTGCACACTGGCTGCTCCAACCCCACCCCAACACCGTCCTGACACCGCGCATCCTTACGCACGGCACGCGGCCTCAGGACGCCCTTCCGGCACAGCGTGCACACATGCTGCACCGAAAGGGCACGGAAGAGCCGCGGCGCCAGCTCTTTGGGCTGCTTTTTGCTGCCCCTAAAAGGAGCGGCATTTTGCCGCTCTTTTAGGGGCGGCAAAAGGAAGGATCGGGGCCACGACGTGGGATTGTTGTGGCCCTGATCAGCATTAGCCCTCAGTCTTTGAAGAACCTTTAAAGTGTAAGGGCTGTTCGGCAATGGAATAGATTGCTTCAGAGGGTGGTGGGCTCTCCATTTTTGGAAGTCTTTAAACAGAGGCTGGATGGACATCTTTCAGGCATGCTTTAGTTATCTATTCCTGCATGGCAGAGGGTTTGGGTTTGATGACCTTTGCGGTCCTTTCCAGCCCTAGGATTCTAGGATTTCACATGGAAACAAAGCAGAGGCATCATTAGGGGGTGCAAGGGGTGCAGACAGCACCAGGTGAAAGCCAAGAGTGAGATGAGCATCCGATGACGCTCTCCTGGAAAGGAAGGACGTCTGGTGGCTTGCCTGCCCATCTGTCCAAGTCTTTTGGGGTCTGGTCAAGCTGGTTGGCAAATATGGCAGAGGGAGGGAAGGGGGCAAGAATGTCTGCTGCCTTTCCTGACCATCCAGCCACCTGGATCCTTCCAGATCTGGCTAGGCGTGCAAGGTAGAGGGAGAAAAGGTCCACTATTGCCAACCACATCCCTGCCCTAGTGACGCCATTGAAAAAAGAAAACTATAGTTGGCCCTCCATATGCCATTTTATACCAGGGGCACCATTTTACCATGCCATTGTATTTGATGGGACTTTTTGTCTTGCTAATGGGACTTAATTTTTCTTTTTATTTCCTGGCGTACCCACATGGTCAGAAGGAGGATGGGCCGCTTGCATGAATCACCCTCCAGTACTGTCTAAAGTGAGAACAGCCGCATCTTGACAAAATGCAAGCTTGGGACTAACATCGTCATGTTTTTTTTCTTCTCTTGTCTGATTTTTAATCATCTTTGCCTGATGAAGAAGGCAGTGGCGCTTTGAAAGCTTGCAACATGTGTTTTGTGCATTTTGGTTGGTCCCATAAAGATATCACTGCTTTGTGGATTTTGGATGTTATTGAATTCTAAACAAAATGTTGTTGTTTGTTGTTTGTTGTTATTGTTAATACCCTTCCTCCTGTTTAGGGACTCAAAACAAATTTTTTAAAAGTACAGGTTAAAAACAATGCAAAGCATTAAAATATAGATACAAAATTTAAACACGCAATTAAACAATTTTAAGAAGTTAAAAACATGATGCATTAAAATTTGAAATATATTAAAAACGCTATATAATATAGAGTTTTAAGATTCATCAGTGACCACGAGGGGGCAGGTTTACGTACCCTTCTCCTAGCAAACTTGCCAAATTGAATATTTCCCAAAACTTCCTTTCAGGTGATCAGAAATAAGTATCACACATCCTCACCTTGAACAGCTTTTAATATCGCTTTGGTTATCTCGTGAAACTTGTCTAAGGTATATCATTGCTTTTTAAAAATAAATTAAATAGGTATATTCATTGGAGATTGTTATTGAACGGGAGACAGCAAGACTGTGGAGTGTAGGGTTACATTCATATGATCTCACGGCAAGAGTCAGGCCAAAAAGCTATTTAGCAGCTGATTCGGTTACCTTCTGATGGGGATCATGAATGCTTCAGCCTCCTAGGTGATCCATGACGCAGCTGAGCATGGAAGATTACTGAACTAGTCTGACAAGTGTGGACCAGTGAACGGCTACTAAAATACTAGCCAGTGTGCCATATAGTGGTTTGAACGTTGGACTGTGATTCTGGAGACCAGGGTTTGAATACCCTTCTCAGCCCCCAAAACCCACTGGGTGACATTGGGCAAGTCACACTCTCTCAGCCTCAGAGGAAGGCCAGGGGAAACCTCCTCCGAACAAATCCTGCCAAGAAAATCCCATGATGGTTTTGCACCGTTGCTGTGTACCTTCAAGGTGTTTCTGACTTATGGGAGACCTGAAGGAGAAGCTATTGTGACAAGGTTTGTTCAAAGGAGGTTTGCCATTGCCTTCTCCTGAGGTTGAGAGCATGTGACTAGCCTGAGGTCAACCAGTGGGTTTCATGGCCGAGCTGGGACTCGAACCCTGGTCTCCACAGTTGTGATCCACCACTCAAACCACTATGCCACGCTGGCTCTACAGGTTCACCTTAAGGTTGCCATAAATAAGAAATGATGTGAAGGGACACAACAACATAATACTAGTCAAGGTGAATTGGAGAATAAAACCTCCTTGTTTAGTGAATGTCTAGCTCAGCTTTTTGGATGCTAGGATGCACAGGGTTTGGCTGCCTCCATCATTCTGTGCTTAAAGATGGGTACAGCTGGAATATTTCCGGAGTAGTCTTGCCCTGGAGCTGCAAGTCACACTCTCTCAGCCTCAGGAGACGGCAACACCAAACCTCCTCTGAGCAAATCTTGCCAAGAAAAATCCAGGATAGGTCCGCCTTAGGGTCTCCATAAATCGAAAACGATTTTAAGAAACATAAGAACAACAAAGACATACATTAGAAGGGGAATTCTTACACCTTTTAACAGTTCTAAATTGTTTTAAGTGTATTGTTATTTAGTGCTTTTTAAACGTTTGTATTGCAGACTGTTTTAGCTATATCTTTTCAATGTAGCGCTTTAACATTTTAACATATAAGCTACTTTCGGTCCCATATGGGAGAAAAGTGGGGTATAACATTGATTGATTGATTGATTGATTGATTGATTGATTGATGGTCAGCCCTGCCATTCGACGGAGTGAAAGGGCAGCCGGTGGGTCATTATCCAGTCTGCGATTTTGTGATTGTGATTGGATGGTTTTGTGCAATGTTAACAAAAGTGAAATCTTTTCACGATTTCCACCCCCTCATTTTTTTTGAAGATGTGCTCTAGTTAATAGTTTCTTACAGCTGTATTTCAGAGATGAAGCCAGTAAAGAGATAACCATTAATCCCTAGTGTTTTCTGTGCTTTTCCTTTCCTGTTTGTAGCAAAACAAAAGGAAACCTCACAGATCAAAGTGGGCTAAGAGTTCTCCTGGCTTTGTATTTTTCCACCAACCCTCTCAGGCGGATTTTAAGTAGGATTGTCAGATCTCAGGGCCTGGGCCTGAGTCTCCAGTTTTTGTGGATCATCTCTGGGCAGGAAACAAGGGTGCAAATTTTCCAGTTTGGAGGAACTCAGCTCCGGGAGAAAGGAAAGAGCTGTGTGCGAATCATCAATTTATAATGTTTCATTGACTGGTTCCTGCAACTTGCAAAGACTGTCCAGGTCTATCTCTCTCTTCCTCTCCCTCTCCCTCTCATCTGTCTATTCGATGTCTATCACACCTTTCTCCCAGGTTGGGTAGCTATCTATATATTTCCTCTTTCTTTCCCAATTGTTTTGGTGCCAGGGTTCACCCTCTGTTCTGCTTTGCATCCAGTATCTGGCTAGGAGCAAATAGGCCATGTTAAATGTTTCTTATCCCAGCTCCCTAAATAAGTGAGAAGGAATAACCCCCTCGTTTCAACTTGATCTGAAAACAGACCCTTTAGCTAAAGTTTCTGTCTTAGTTTCCAGACTGGGAAATACATTCTCTCAATGTCTGTGGGCCTTTGCAGACTGCCAGAAATAGTGCACATTAAATTGAGGCACTGCCCTGGGTCAGTGCTAGGGAGTCATGGGAATTGTATTTTTTTCTGGGACATTGAGCCTTCTCTGTCAGAGAGCTCTGGTGCCACAATAAAATACAGTTCCCATGATTCCCTAGCACTGAGCCAGGGCAGTGCCTCAATTTAATGTGCACTATTTCAGGCAGTCTGCAAAGGCTTTGTGTTTAAGATGACAAGTTGTGAGCAGCTGTGGTTGGTACTGAATGCTAAAACTGCAATGACAGAGGCTAGATGGCCATCTATTGGGATGCTTTGATTGTGAGTTCCTGCATGGCATTGGGTTGGATTGGATGGCCCTTGCGGTCTGTCTCAACTCTATGAGTTTATGAGTCTATGATTCTATATCATTGGGTTTTGACATCCCTATCTCTCAGGTTTGGGCTTGGAAATCTCAAGGCCTGAGGTGATTCTGAACTGGCGACCCTACTTTTAGCTGCGTCCTGAAACTCCAGAAAGCATTTTTTTTTGGACATGGTTTCCTGCAAGGTTGCAAGGTTATGAAATAACTCTATCCAGAGTTGGATTATCAGTGCCCCAGTTCAGTGGCGTCACTAGGGTTGGTGTCGCCCAGTGCGGCAGCTCATGGTGTCACCCCCCC